GTCTACGAAGGAGGATGAATGGATAAAAACACGAAAATATCAACAGATACACAAACAAATTGTCTGAAACTGACACTCTCAAGGTATCCGATTTTCATTGATAACATATTTATTAAGTTTTGTGGACGTGTTTTTTTTACACAGACAGAAAATTATACTTTCATATGAGAACCAACAAAGGTACTCTCTCACTGTATGCGTATACAGATGATGTTCCCCATTGAATTTAACAAACTTTGGTGACTATGTTGATCGACTCTTACTCATTTATTAATAACTTGAAATTAAGGAACCCACACATAAATGAAGGTCTGCTTCATATCTTGACTTACATTTATAATGTTACAGGTGTCTCAGTTGAGAACTAAACGACAAGAGAAATGACATTATGGCTCTACTGTATGTTGGCAACGCATAAGGTCATGTTTTTCTCTGACTGTTAATGACGTCTTTACACTAAATCCATTGGATGTTGGATATGTACTGAATGATATTTTAGTCTTAGATGTGATTTATTTTATTAGTTGTTATTGGCTTTGAACTAGCTGTCAGTAACTGCGAGTACTCTCAGATTTGTACTAAGTGTCTTTTTGTTGTGGGGATGTATAAATACCCTGCCACGTCCACTCTGTGTTTTTGTTAGAATTATTTCTGCTTTGTGTCTATCTGATGAGTTTAGTCCTTTTCAACTGATTTTGATAGTTTGTTATTTTGTACTGTTACACCACTGTCCCAGGTTAGGGGAGGGTTGGCGCCTTCAAACTAGTTTAACCCCTTTTTTGCAACATTCCAGCATCACCTGTAATGGAGTTTAGTGTGACGTCCATTTTCACTGAACTAGTACACATTTTTGTTTAGGGGCCAGCTGAAGCCCGCCTCTGGGTGCGGAATTTTCTCGCTGTGTTGAAGACCCATTGGTGGCCTTCGGCTATTTTCTGTCCTTTGGTCGGGCTGTTGTCTCTTTGACACATTCCCCATTTCCATTCTCAATTTTATATATATTACATTTACTTCTTTATTTCAAGGCTTGCAGTTGCTATCACGATTTCTTCGATACAGGATGCTGCTTACAAGGCAGCTATTGAACCAAGGGCTCTGAATTGTAATGTTGAAGTCATCTTGTTACACGTTTTCATTATGCTTTGATTATTACGGAAATGTGTGTCACATTTACAGATGTATATCATAAATATATTCGACTTTCCGCAGCCACACGGTGCTAGATAGTTTATATGAATCAATTTATTTTCTATTTGGTGTTGTCTTAAGATTTACACATCTGCCTACCTTAACTTTGATGCTCTATCACTTACAATGGATTTTAACAGAAGTCACACGACTGGGGACACTAGTGGAGCAGCAACTAGTGGCCGCCCTTCCGGTATCTTAGTCCCGTTTTATTTGTATTTTCTGTGTAGTGTCTGGTTGATACCACCTTCTGGGTTTTGTTGCCATGTCGGTTTGTGTTTCTTAGATTTATGGGATTTGATTGCCGTTTTGGTATCTTTGTAACTTTTGTGTATTGTCATTGAAGAAAACATTTTGAAATTTAGTTATTATCATATTTTTTTTAAAAGAATACCTTTTCAATAGAGCTATTCTGTTATTTCATTATTACTGAAATTTGTGTCCCATTTACAGATGTCTACATAAATACATTCGAAAGAAAGTCACAAAGAGTTAGATAGTTTATATCTACATAACCAAATTATTTTTTATTTGGTCAAAAACGACCACGGATATGTTCTACTGTCGTTTTGACAGACGACCGCGAATATGTCCAACTACCGTTGTGACAGATGATCACGTATATGTTCCACTGTCGTTGTAACAGATGACCACGTATATGTTCCACTGTCGTTGTAACAGATGACCACGTATATGTTCTACTGTCGTTGTGAACGATGATCACGCATATGTTCCACTACCGTTGTGACAGACAACGACGTATATGTTCTGCTGTCGTGTTGACAGACGAATGTGCATAGTTAATTATTTAAAGAATTTGTAATTATATTGTCCCTGTTAAATTTAAAATACTCAGCGAAATAAACAATTTTACATATAACGTAGACATTTTACTCTTGTTTCATGTCGTTACTTTACACTACGTGTTTTTTCAATTGGTCCTTTGTTAAACTGGCGTCTTATTCATATACATGTACAACCAAAGTATCGTTGCCTTGTAACTTTACCATATGAGATTAAGCCCCGACTCTTAATTTTGTTTGTGGGAGAGAAATGGATTTTTTTTTTAAATTGATTGTTTGATTCCAAATTTCTTTCAGGTACGAAGTGAAAAAAAATATTTATTACAACTGATTAAGAAGATAAAGAACTAAACGCTTTGAGTTTAAAATATAGGTTTATTTTATTGAAAAACAATAAATTCTTTTTGAAACGTCGATAAGTAATATTCTGCACTCAAACTATGATTTTCGATGTCCCACTTGTCCTAAAAAGATAAAAACAAGCCTTACAGAACTTCAGATATGGAGATATCTTATTGTTAACAGTGGAATTTAAAGGACGGTTTTGTTTGACTTTCTTTAAAGCCTAAGTGCTTGATCACATTGTATTTATAACAAACTTTTCTAAAATTGTCCGTTTATAAATTTTGAAATTATAGAGAAACTAAGGTTTCAACTCCCTCAGGCAAAGTTGACCTTAGATGGATTTGGCTATTTGTTTTAGGTATTTTTGTCATATAGCTCTTCATTTGTTTCGGTACTTATACATCCCTCGGATTTTAAATGTTTGGCTTTGAGCGTTCCTGATGAAGGTAAATCCAGAAAAGCGCTTCGGACGCATGAAATTATTAAACGTGTTGTTTTCAATTTTTTACATCACTGGGTCGATACCTCTGCTGGTGGACTATCAGTCCCCGAGGGTATCATCAGCTCAGTTGTCTGTACTTCGGTACTGACATGATTTATAACAAACTTTTCTAAAATTGCCCGTTTATAAATTTTGAAATTATAAAGAAACTAAGGTTTCAACTCCCTCAGGCAAAGTTGACCTTAGATGGATTTTGCTATTTGTTTAAGGTATTTTTGTCATATAGCTCTTCATTTGTTTCGGTACTTATACATCCCTCGGATTTCAAATGTTTGGCTTTGAGCGTTCCTGATGAAGGTAAATCCAGAAAAGCGCTTCGGACGCATGAAATTATTAAACGTGTTGTTTTCAATTTTTTACATCACTGGGTCGATACCTCTGCTGGTGGACTATCAGTCCCCGAGGGTATCATCAGCTCAGTTGTCAGTACTTCGGTACTGACATGATTTATAACAAACTTTTCTAAAATTGCCCGTTTATAAATTTTGAAATTATAAAGAAACTAAGGTTTCAACTCCCTCAGGCAAAGTTGACCTTAGATGGATTTGGCTATTTGTTTTAGGTAGGTTGTCATATAGCTCTTCATTTGTTTCGGTACTTATACATCCCTCGGATTTCAAATGTTTGGCTTTGAGCGTTCCTGATGAAGGTAAATCCAGAAAAGCGCTTCGGACGCATGAAATTATTAAACGTGTTGTTTTCAATTTTTTACATCACTGGGTCGATACCTCTGCTGGTGGACTATCAGTCCCCGAGGGTATCATCAGCTCAGTTGTCAGTACTTCGGTACTGACATGATTTATAACAAACTTTTTAAAAATTGCCCGTTTATAAATTTTGAAATTATAAAGAAACTAAGGTTTCAACTCCCTCAGGCAAAGTTGACCTTAGATGGATTTGGCTATTTGTTTTAGGTATTTTTGTCATATAGCTCTTCGTTTGTTTCGGTACTTATATATCCCTCGGATTTCAAATGTTTGGCTTTGAGCGTTCCTGATGAAGGTAAATCCAGAAAAGCGCTTCGGACGCATGAAATTATTAAACGTGTTGTTTTCAATTTATAACATCACTGGGTCGATACCTCTGCTGGTGGACTATCAGTCCTCGAGGGTATCATCAGCTCAGTTGTCAGTACTTTGGTACTGACATGATTTATAACAAACTTTTCTAAAATTGCCCGTTTATAAATTTTGAAATTATAAAGAAACTAAGGTTTTAACTCCCTCAGGCAAAGTTGACCTTAGATGGATTTGGCTATTTGTTTTAGGTATTTTTGTCATATAGCTCTTCATTTGTTTCGGTACTTGTACATCCCTCGGATTTCAAATGTTTGGCTTTGAGCGTTCCTGATGAAGGTAAATCCAGAAAAGCGCTTCGGACGCATGAAATTATTAAACGTGTTGTTTTCAATTTTTTACATCACTGGGTCGATACCTCTGCTGGTGGACTATCAGTCCCCGAGGGTATCATCAGCTCAGTTGTCAGTACTTCGGTACTGACATGATTTATAACGAACTTTTTAAAAATTGCCCGTTTATAAATTTTGAAATTATAAAGAAACTAAGGTTTCAACTCCCTCAGGCAAAGTTGACCTTAGATGGATTTGGCTATTTGTTTTAGGTATTTTTGTCATATAGCTCTTCATTTGTTTCGGTACTTATATATCCCTCGGATTTCAAATGTTTGGCTTTGAGCGTTCCTGGTGAAGGTAAATCCAGAAAAGCGCTTCGGACGCATGAAATTATTAAACGTGTTGTTTTCAATTTATAACATCACTGGGTCGATACCTCTGCTGGTGGACTATCAGTCCTCGAGGGTATCATCAGCTCAGTTGTCAGTACTTTGGTACTGACATGATTTATAACAAACTTTTCTAAAATTGCCCGTTTATAAATTTTGAAATTATAAAGAAACTAAGGTTTCAACTCCCTCAGGCAAAGTTGACCTTAGATGGATTTTGCTATTTGTTTAAGGTATTTTTGTCATATAGCTCTTCATTTGTTTCGGTACTTATACATCCCTCGGATTTCAAATGTTTGGCTTTGAGCGTTCCTGGTGAAGGTAAATCCAGAAAAGCGCTTCGGACGCATGAAATTATTAAACGTGTTGTTTTTAATTTTGTACCTTATCTCGTCTATAAGTATCTATGATAACATACGGACATGTCATCGAAAGGTACGTGTATAATTCATTGTATTACTTGGAAATTTATTTAAATAAAAACAATAATTATTCAATTTTGAACACTTTCAAACGAACTAACTTAAAATGCCCCATATAAAAATAAGGAGATGTGGAATGATTGGCAATGAGACAACTATCCATAAAGACCAAAGGATAACGATGGGAGCAAATTACAGGGTAACATACGCCCTTCAACAATGATCAGATCAATTACCTTATAGTAAGTTCGAAAAGACTCTAGCATGACACAATGTAAAACAATTCAAAAGAGAAAACCAATGACCAACAGGCTCCTGACTTGGAAATGAAAACAGCACAAATAATTTCATCCGAAGCGCTTTCTGTATTTACCTTCATCAGAAACGCTCAAACCGAAACATTTGAAACCAAGGATGCCATATGTATCTAACGTCAACTTTGCCTGAGGGAGTTGGAACCTTAGTTTCTAAATAATTTCTTAATATTTTATCAACAGCGAATTTAGGTAAAATCATGTCAGTACCGACGCACTGACTACTGAGTTGAGGATACCATCGGGGACTAACAGTCCACCAGTTGTGGTATCGACCCACTACTATAAAATGAAATAACACATAGTAATTTCCTGACATGTACATAAATAATGTTGCTGGGTTATACATGAATGTGAGCACTCCAAGTTATGTTCTTCTCATATATTTTATGATGGTATAATACTAAACCCCTAACAGGAGGGATTGTGTCTGATATTCATATGATGAAGACATAATCTTTCAATCAGTTTGATTGAGGTCTGGAGCTGGCATGTCAGTAACTGCTAGTAGTCTGTTGTTATTTATGTATTATTGTCTTTTTGTTTATTTTCTTTTGTTTCCTATTCTAACATCGCACTCGGACTTCTCTTAAACTGAGTTTTACTGTGCGTACTGTTGTACGTTTGTTTTTTCTACATTGGCTAGAGGTATAGGGGGAGGGTTGAGATCTCAAAAAACATGTTTAACCCCGCCGCATTTTTGCGCCTGTCCAAGTCAGGAGCCTCTGGCCTTTGTTAGTCTTGTATCATTTTTAATTTTAGTTTCTTGTGTATAATTTGGAGTTTAGTATGACGTCCATTATCACTGAACTAGTATACATATTTGTTAAGGGGCCAGCTGAAGGACGCCTCCTGGTGCGGGAGTTTCTCGCTGCATTGAAGACCCATTGGTGGCCTTCGGCTGTTGTCTGCTCTATGGTCGGGTTGTTGTCTCTTTGACACATTTCCCATTTCCATTCTCAATTTTATTGTATTTGGATATCAGAAGTATTGTGATACCTACAAATAATACAGTATTGTATTTAGATATCAGAACCATTCTACAAAATGGAGGAACAATACTTAATGCAGAGGGATTCATGTGGGAGTTTGGTCGACGGGGTTATCTTAAATATGGTGCATATACACCGGAAGTTGTTCTCGAACATCCAAATCTTGTAGAGAGTATGTACAGGGAATTTGTTCATGCAGGATCGGATGTAGTGCAAGCATTCACTGTAAGATATTATTCTGTTAATGTACTTTATATGGAATAATTTGAATCTATACTACTAAAGGAAGAGACCGATTTCATTGAGCCAAATCTTCTCTGAAACCATACAAAGTCGGAAATATTTGTGATATGACGTATAAATGTAGTGTTTTGTACTTCCTAAATTTGTCTTTGAAACAATCTTTTTTTCCACAGAAAAAGCCAATTTTTGAGAAAATATCCAAATTCGGAGACCGTTATCTATCCGTGTCTTATACGCTTTCGTGCATGCTCATCAGTCGATGTACTGCCCGACAACTCGGCCCACAGCCAACTCGCACCACTCAAACACTCTCACTAATTATTACAACTTGCATCACTTTATCAAACTCACACCACTCTAATAAAAAAGAAGAAATATAACAAACTCGAAAAAATGTGTTTAATCATTGTTTTCTTCTTATCTTAGTAATTTCATCCTTTTTCGGAGCACCCGGTGTCAAACAGAGACAGAACTCGCATCACTCGAAAAAAAAATAGTTACTACAAACTCGCACTACTGAAGAAATGTTTTAAATCATCAGAGAGTTCTAGATTGTCCTCTTCTTCTCCGAGTTATTTCCTCCGTTCTTGGAGCATCCGTATCACACAGAGACAGAACTTGAATCGCACCTTTCGAGAAAAAAAAGAAATACTACAAACTAGCACCACTGAGAATGTTTTAATCATGAGTGTTGTAGGTTGTCTTCTTCTTCTCTGAGTTATTTACTCCGTTCTAGGAGCACCTGTGTAACACCGAGACAGAAGCTACTAATTGGACATTCAAACTCCTATGGAAGAAGAACTGACAAACTAATAAAAACATAATGCATCAGTGCATAAAAACAGTTTGAGAAACACCAACCCAAGCAGTGTATCACCTTAAACATTTCAAGTAGTCTTCAAGCCGCGCTCGCGCGGATTTTTTCTAGTATTTATAAAACAGATATCACCTACTTCATTGCGGAAGATATGTGATTGTTTTCGGGGATAACTTTCAACAGGGAATGTTATGGGCCAAACTTTTGAGAAGCATTATGCATAAAAAATTACAAGTCTAAAATATAAATCAGTTCACCATGTCACAGGCAGAAAATGATATCCTGCTTAAACGAAAATATTTGGAATAAAGAACAAAAAGCTTACATCAATTAGTTCATTTTTAATAATATAATATTTATAATGTTTTATATTTATTTTCTCAAAACCTATGTCGCTTACTTATGTAGACAAAAACGGATTTCAAAACAAACTTTGAGATTTTTTTTTCTAAATAATAAAAAAAAAAAACTTCTAACCTTACAATTCTAGATAAAGATAGAATATCCAACTTCCTTTAGTAGCGAGCAAGTTTTGACCCTAAATTCCCAATTAGATGTCTTTTATTTTCTTTTTTAAGTAACTGGTTATTCTGTTGGTAACTCACTGAGCGGGGTTATTTATTGTGTATGTTACTTGTGTGACATAAAGTCTAGATAGGATAAGAGGAGAGTTGTGCACACTTACTGAGTGGGGTTATTTATTGTGTATGTTACTTGTGTGACATAAAGTCTAGATAGGATAAGAGGAGAGTTGTGCACACTTACTGAGCGAGGTTATTTATTGTGTATGTTACTTGTGTGACATAAAGTCTAGATAGGATAAGAGGAGAGTTGTGCACACTTACTGAGCGGGGTTATTTATTGTGTATGTTACTTGTATGACATAAAGTCTAGATAGGATAAGAGGAGAGTTGTGCACACTTACTGAGCGGGGTTATTTATTGTGTATGTTACTTGTGTGACATAAAGTCTAGATAGGATAAGAGGAGAGTTGTGCACACTTACTGAGCGGGGTTATTTATTGTGTATGTTACTTGTGTGACATAAAGTCTAGATAGGATAAGAGGAGAGTTGTGCACACTTACTGAGCGGGGTTATTTATTGTGTATGTTACTTGTGTGACATAAAGTCTAGATAGGATAAGAGGAGAGTTGTGCACACTTACTGAGCGGGGTTATTTATTGTGTATGTTACTTGTGTGACATAAAGTCTAGATAGGATAAGAGGAGAGTTGTGCACACTTACTGAGCGGGGTTATTTATTGTGTATGTTACTTGTGTGACATAAAGTCTAGATAGGATAAGAGGAGAGTTGTGCACACTTACTGAGCGGGGTTATTTATTGTGTATGTTACTTGTGTGACATAAAGTCTAGATAGGATAAGAGGAGAGTTGTGCACACTTACTGAGCGGGGTTATTTATTGTGTATGTTACTTGTGTGACATAAAGTCTAGATAGGATAAGAGGAGAGTTGTGCACACTTACTGAGCGGGGTTATTTATTGTGTATGTTACTTGTGTGACATAAAGTCTAGATAGGATAAGAGGAGAGTTGTGCAAAAAATGTGTGGACTTTAACGGTGCTTTTTTGTGGACTTTAGCGGAACTTGTTATTGTGGACTATAACGGTGTTTTTTTGTGGACTTTAGCGGAGGTCATTTTGTGGACTTTAGCGGAAAGTTTGTGGACTTTAACGGCGTTCTGGACTTTAGCGGAAAATTGTTGTGAACTTTAGCGGTGTTGTGGACTTTAGAGGAATTGTGGACTTTAACGGTGCCACAGTGCACACTTCAAAACGGTTTTATCTCCATCACATGTTGTGTCTGTAGAAAGAAAGGCTATCTGGACCATGTGTTGTTAGTCATGATTTATACGTTTACTATTTCAAGGGGGTTGTGCTTCGGTAGATGGTGTGGTCTTTTTTACTTTCTTATATTTTTTATATTTCTTTTTATCATTTTAATATGTTATCAGACAAGTATGGAAATGGAAAAAAATATAATAAAATGCAGACCAAACGGAGTGATTAAACTGCAGAGACAGGGTAAACAATTACTGACCCTGCATAATTCACATGTGATTCCAAACAACCATACGTTCAGCAATAACTTTTATTCGACAGAAACCAGTAACTTTTGTGACATGAAAGATCCAAATGTCTTATAAATTGAAGCAACGTTAAGATGAATCGATTAAGATTTCGGTGGTTTTACTTGGCATCTTTTACTTTTTGTTTTACATTTGATTGTTGGATATTGACATTTATTCGTCTTGTTGCGTAAAATATCAATTAATACCTCGAACGGATTTATGGTAAAGACTTTAAAAGCAGTCTAAGAAAACCATGAGATTTAAAGTTTAGAAAAAAAAATATCAATAAGCTTACATCGATTACTAGAAGTGTATTTTTTTGAAAATGAATACAATGACAGGGACTGAGGTTATTATCTGTTAATAAGAGTTCAGTAGTATTTACGTTTTATTTATTTGATTTTGTTAAAAAGTTTTAATTAGTATGCACATTTTTGGCATAACAGTAACAATTTCGGAGTTGCAAGGGTCATAGTGGTCCAACATCAGAAAAAATAGAAATAAGACCTTGTTAGAGAAAATTAAATCGCGTATGCCGGACTATCAAAATGTTATAAAAAACCAATACATGTCTATAATTTCATATTTGCCTATTATATAGGTGGAATACTTTTTATCACGTGATTCGTATCATTATCACTACAAGTTTTCATAGTTATGTAAATTCATTCTTTTAACAGTATTTTGGACATCGGGAAAAGTTAAAGAGTGTTGGTAGAGAGGAAGATCTAGAAAAATTGAACAGAACTGCCTTACGACTTGCGAGAAAAGTCGCAGATGACACAGACAAAATTATGGCAGCCGGAATATGTAATACTGGAATTTGGGATCCCGATAACGAAGCTACAAAAATACTAGCAAGAAAAATGTTCAAGGTTAAATCCGTTTAGGTTATTGAAAATCCTCATTTCTAGATTGCCCATTATGATTATTTTTACCAATTATTGCATTTTTGGTCAAATTTAGTACAAATAGAAAAACTGTAAACTGCAAAAATTATCAAAAGGACAATATCTACATAAATAAAATAGTGGTCGACTCCTTATGAGTTATGCCGTAAATGATTTTTTTTTAAATTACATATTATTGCATTTTAGCCAAAAATATAGTAGTAAAAAAAGAAAACAGTTAACAAAATAAATGACCAACAGAACAAGGGTAGTTTTGCAATGAATTGGCTTTTACAACATAGAAGGTGTAATGTTTACGATTCAACTCAATGACAATACTAGTAATACATTACAAATTTGGTTTGTCTGGAATTAGTGTTATCAGGAACGGTCAATATATATGTCATAGTAGTTCAAACGTGGTGCCATGGTTGCATGTACATGTGGCAGGTCTAGGGCTCGATCCTCGGCAGGGTGAACAAACAACAGTAAAATTGGTAGTTGCTGCTACTACGTCAGGCAATCGTCAGATGAGTTTAAACAATCAATTATGACTTGCCGAATAATGAGTCGGAGTATGTCGATACTTTCCCAGTTTTACTCAGTTTAGTATACTATATAGGATATATCTCATTGTCATTATGTTTTTATGCTGAATTAGCATATAACAAATTTCACTGGACCGTTCTGTACGAAAAACATATTTACTACAGAGACCTGAATATGACCAAATAAATATTTATTGACTAAACGCGCATCTGGTTTACAAAATTATAAGCCTGGTATCTTTGATGAGGTTTTTTTAGGAGACCGTATGGCATTAAGGAAATCATGTGGTATAAAATGCATATATTAACGTTATATTAATTTTTTTTATGCTATAATTTTTTTAATAATTTTTTAGACAACAAACTACATGTGTATAATGCGCTATACATGTTTTTACTTTAAGTTGTGTCCCATCAATTAACACAATAGAATAGTCAAAACTTGAATAATGTCGTAACTTTACACTGGTATGTTCGAACTTTATACACCCCTGTTCAACTGTATATTTTGTTTTATTCTTTTTATGTAATAGGAACAGGTAGAGTGGGCGGTAGAAGAAAAAGCCGATTATATAATTGGTGAAACCTACAATGATTCGGGGGAAGCCATGGCAGCTCTAGAGACAATAAAGGAATATGGGAAAGGTAAAATAAAACTTTCTGGAAATCATATGTCATTGATAACTTGGTTGTTTACAGAGTTTTTAATTTTTTTACTTCTAAATCGAATTAAAATCATAGAAATCTCCAACATTATCTTTTCTGTTTAGTTTGGTAGATTTTAATATTGTTTTTCAATATTTTATTTTTGAATTAAATTTCAGTTATGCTTCACACAATGCAAACGCTTGAACATGTTTTCTAGGTTTACCTGCGGTAATAACGATGGCTGCTTATTTCCCGGACATAACGGTAAATGATATACCATTCCCACAAGCTCTGAGACAACTTGAAGAAGCAGGTGCTGCTGTTGTAGGGCTGAACTGCGCAAGAGGTCCAAAAACCATGTTACCTTTAATCCAAGAGATTAGAAAAGTCTGCAAGGTTAACTCATTATATATTTAAGAGACCACACATTTTAAATAGTTCATTTCAGTATGTTTCACTCTTATTGCCAGAATCAACAAACAAATAAACACACTTGGTTTCCAAACAAAGGCCAACAAAGGACATAAAGAGCATACACATGGAAAAGAAATTATATCAAACAGAGAAAAATGAAAACAAGAAAAATATAAAAATTTAAACCGTTATAAAACTTACACAAATATGTTCATTTAATACCTTATACATTTAAGCAAATTCTTTCTTTGTTAATATTTAAATATACTGTACGTATTCAGAAAATTTTAAATGTAATTTAAAAAGGGTCCAGTTGCGGCCATACCTGTACCCTTTCGTTGCACAGACGAATACCGTACGTTCCAGTCACTTAAAGATCCAGAAACAGGTTTATAACGCTAGAATATTTATAGATAGACTTAAAATACTCCGACATATATATTTGTATTATCTTCAAATTGTAAAATACTCCGACATATATATTTCTATTGGCATAAAATTGTAAAATACTCCGACATACATGTTTCTATTGGCATCAAATTGTAAAATACTCAACAAACACATTTCTATTGGCATCAAATTGTAAAATACTTCGACATACATATTTCTATTAGAGCCAAATTGTAAAATACTCCGACAAACATATTTTCTTTGGGATCAAATGGTGAAATACTTCGACATACATATTTCTATTGGGATCAAATGGTGAAATACTTCGACATACATATTTCTATAGGCATCAAATGATAAAATACTCCGACATACATATTTCTATTGGCATCAAATGATAAAATACTCCGACATACATATTTCTATTGGCATCAAATGATAAAATACTCCGACATACATATTTCAATTGGCATCAAATTGTAAATTACTCCGACATACATATTTCAATTAGCATCAAATTGTAAAATACACCGACATACATATTTCAGTCTATTAACATCAAATTGTAAAATGCTCCGACATACACATTTCTATTGGCATCAAATTGAAAAATATTCCGACATACATATTACTATTGGCATCGAATCGTTTTCATTTAGCATGATAACTTTCTTATTTTAATATAGTGGATGTTTTATGAGAATTTTTTGCTAAAACGAAAAATACCGTTCTGTTCGTGTTCGTGATAACAATAAATCTAACTCTGTTCACGACACTTACGAATGAATATATTAACTGGGGAAAAACAAAGAAAACTGGTATTAGATCAATAGAGGCTAGGATCATACTGGTTAAAACTGTCATTAGATAAATTGAGGCCATGATCATGCTAGTTACAAAACTACCATTAGATCAATTGACGCCAGGATCATGCTTGTTAAACTGTCACTAGATAAGTTGACTCCGTGCTCATGCCGGCATAAGACTGTTCGATTTTATTTATTTTCATTTTAGAAATGTTTGTACGGTGACAATATATATATATCAATACAAATTTGTTTTTCAGGTAAACATCTTTACCCAAATGATTTAGAAAGCATTAGATGCAATTCGGCAGACATACGGGAGTTTGCAGAAGAATCCAAAAGAATTGGTGTTCAGTATATTGGTCTGTGTTGTGGAAATTGTTCATCTTTATTCCGAGAGCTGGCTGAAAGTTACAACCGAAAACCTCCAGCGTCTAAATATGCTCCTGATTTATCACAAAGTAGTGTATTTGGGGAACCATCTGGCAAGAAATATGGACGTGCTGACAAAATTAGGGCTTTTATGCTAAATTTGAAATATTAAATGAAATCGTCAATTATGACGTCATAACTTTGAGTATGACAGTCGTATATCAGATTTTAAATTATGCAGTGAAATTATGCTTCTTTAAGATGAACGTTTAACTCTGTTTGTCTTGTTTTCACTTATTAGAATTGTGACATGTGCATTTTTATCAATGTAACATTTTCGAATAACTTTTGAATTACAGTTTTGACTTAACTTCACACACTTGAAATTGAATATATATATTTACTGTTTTAATTAACCAGTGGTACATAATTTTGTAAGATTCAACATGTAAGTAAACTGGTAACACCAATCACAAATTTGTATTTAACGAATGACACAAAAAGAAGCAAATGCAGTATCACTAATCGTGAATGTCATCGTATGTGCTCCAACAAGACAAAATATTAAAATAAGAAGATGTGGTATGATTGCCAATAAGACAACTCTCCATCAGAGACCAAATGCCATAGAAGTTTACAACTATAGGTCACCGTACGGCCTTCAACAATGAGCAAAACCCATACCGCATAGTCAGGCTATCAATTTCTTTTGATGATTTAAATATATCTACTGCATTTAGACATTCAAGATTTCCCAAAACGACAATAGTAAAGTTCAAATGTTAGTCCACTGTTATTTAAGAGTATAGAGAACACCACTTAAAACAACTGTAGTAAAATGCAAATGTTACACACATTTCCTGCACATTCCTGTTGAAATATCAATTGTTTCGTAATGATAGAACTAATCGCGTCGGCGGTGGCGTGGTAGTGTATATAAAAGAAAATATTAACTGCGTCCATAGACCCGTCTTGCTTACAGGCGATTTTAATATAAACCAAAATAATAAAAATCCCAATGACAAAATTACAAACTTAATTGCTCAATATAATCTTAATCAATTAATTGAAGAAAACACTTATTTTACTGAATACAGTTCGTCAATTTTAGATTTAGTCATTGTAAGCAATCCAAATAGTATTCTTTACACCGATGTCGGTCCACCTCTACTTGAACAAACGCGTTATCATTTGCCAGTTATAGGTATTATTAATTGTATTAAAAAGAATGATCATCCCATTAGGCGAAAAATTTACCTGTACGACCGTGGTGACTATGAATCATATAGACAACGCCTTTCGGACATAAATTGGGACTCTTTGTTCGTCGCAGATGATGTGGAAAAAACTACCATAAACATAACCAAAGTTATTCTCGAAATCGCAGAGCAAGTTATCCCAAACCGATTTATAAATGTAAAAAAAGGCGACCCCCCCATGGGTAACTACAATGCTGAAAAAAATTATAAAGAAAAAAAATAGATCCCATAAGAAACCCAAACGATCGAACACACCCTATCAGTGGGAGAAATTTAGAAAAGTTAGAAATAAATGTAATACTGCTGTTGAAAACGCCAAAACAGATTACTATAAGAAATTATCTGATAAAATTATGAACGAACCCGTTAATAGTAAAAACTGGTCTAAAATGGTCAAATCATTATTTGGAAGGCAACATAAAGAAATTCCTTTACTGAAAGTAAATGACGAAATAATAGATGATCGTGAAAAAATGGCTGATATTTTTAATGTATACTTTAGTGATCAGTCGAATATCGATGATTCTAACGTCCAACTGCCAGATTTAGAAAAGTTTACTTCAGAATTATCCACAATAGAAATTACAGAAAAAGATGTTGAGGACATATTGTTAAATTTAGACACGTCGAAAGCTATTGGGCCCGATTGCGTAAGTCCTCGGTTATTAAAAGAAGCGAGTAATATTGTTAAACGTCCTTTTTGTAAATTATTTAACATGTCTATTTCTGTTGGTAGGTTTCCCAGTGACTGGAAACTTGCCAATGTTATTCCTGTTTTCAAAAAAAGTTCTTCTACGGAAGTATCAAATTATAGACCGATTTCCCTGATAAGTGTTCTCGGTAAAGTTATGGAAAGATGTGTATACAAGCATATTTACAATTACTTACTTGAAAATAATATTTTGACGGACAACCAGTCAGGATTTACACCTGGTGACTCGGCTATCAATCAATTATTATATTTGACAAACGAATTTGGGAGGGCTTTAGATGAGGGTAAGGAAATTCGGGTTATATTTTGTGATATAAGTAAAGCTTTTGATAGAGTTTGGCATAAGGGATTGATTCGTAAATTAGAAGCAATTGGTATATCAGGTCAGTTGCTTCACTGGGTCAAAGACTACTTAAGAGGCAGGAAGCAACGAGTGGTTATTAACAATAAAACGTCAGGATGGCGAGACATTAATGCCGGTGTTCCTCAGGGATCAATCCTTGGTCCTCTCTTCTTTTTAATATTTATTAATGATATTGTAGCTGAAATTCAGTCAGAAATAAAACTTTTTGCAGATGACACAAGTCTGTATTTTATAGTGGACAATCCAGTAAATGATGCATTAAAGTTAAATGAAGATTTAAAGAAAATTTGCTACTGGTCTGAGAAGTGGTTGGTTAATTTTAATGCAAATAAAACTAAGAGCATGACCATATCCCGGAAACTTAAAAAACCATTTCATCCACAGCTTTTCATGAATAATTTCCCTTTAAACTCTGTAAATGAACACAAGCATCTTGGTGTGATACTGTCAAACGACGGTAATTGGCACAAGCATATCGATATGATGGTTAAAAAAGCTTATTCCCGCTTAAATATACTTAGAAAATTTAAATTCATTTTAAACAGAAAAACCTTAGAACAACTTTATTTTTCTTATATAAGGCCGGTTCTTGAATATGCTGATGTAGTTTGGGATACATCTACATTGATTTTAGTTCATAAAATAGAAAGTGTCCAAATAGAGGCTGCAAGGATTGTGACTGGAGGAACACGGTTAACATCTATTACTTTACTTTATAAGGAAACGGGATGGGAAAAACTAAAGGATAGATGAGAGGCCCACAGACTCACATATTTGTACAAAATGTCTAACAATATTACTCCATCTTATCTTAATGATATTTTACCTGAACGGTTCCGTAATATACATGAATATAATACGCGTAATGCGAATGATTTGCAACCTATTGCAGCTAGAACAACATTATACTCTAACTATTTTCTCTCATCAACAGTAAAATCCTGGAACTCGCAGACAATTGAACTACAAAATAGTCCGTCCCTTCTCGCCTTCAAAAATAATTTTAAGAGTAACCGTGAAATTAAGCCGGTATTTTATTATTGTGGTTCCAGATCCGGTCAAATATATCATGCGAGAATAAGAATGAACTGTAGTGGACTCAACAAACACCTCTATGACAGAAACTTGATACAATCCCCGAAGTGTGTTTGTGGAGACCCTGAAACAACGGAACACTATTTATTAAAATGCAAAATATTCAATGTACCTCGCCAAAGACACATTCACAACCTACAGATTCCAATCAAAATTTCAACTAATGTCTTACTTTTTGGCTCCGATAGACTCGCAGTAGAACAAAACATACTGATATTCAAAGCTGTGCAAAACTTTATTATAAGTAGCAATCGATTCACATCCACAATCAAATAATTCTAATTAATCACTCCTCCTCTATATAAAAAATGTTGTTATGGAATTTGATATCAATGGCAGTCTGTTCTTTTATGGAGTTTGGTGTTAATGACAATCTATTATTCATGGAATTTGATATCAATGGCAGTCTGTTCTTTATGGAATTTGATATCAATGGCAGTCTGTTCTTTATGGAATTTGATATCAATGGCAGTCTGTTTTTTGTGGAGTTTGGTGTTAATGACAATCTATTATTCATGGAATTTGATATCAATGGCAGTCTGTTCTTTATCGAATTTGATATCAATGGCAGTCTGTTCTTTATGGAATTTGATATCAATGGCAGTCTGTTCTTTATCGAATTTGATATCAATGGCAGTCTGTTCTTTATGGAGTTTGGTGTTAATGACAATCTATTATTCATGGAATTTGGTGTTAATGACAATCTATTATTCATGGAATTTGATATCAATGGCAGTCTGTTCTTTATGGAATTTGATATCAATGGCAGTCTGTTCTTTATGGAATTTGATATCAATGGCAGTCTGTTCTTTATGGAATTTGATGTCAATGGCAGTCTGTTCTTCATGGAATCTGATATCAATGGCAGTCTGTTCTTTATGGAGTTTGGTGTTAATGACAATCTATTATTCATGGAATTTGATATCAATGGCAGTCTGTTCTTTATGGAATTTGATATCAATGGCAGTCTGTTCTTTATGGAATTTGATATCAATGGCAGTCTGTTCTTTGGTGAGTTTGGTGTTAATGACAATCTATTATTCATGGAATTGATATCAATGGCAGTCTGTTCTTTATGGAATTTGATATCAATGGCAGTCTGTTCTTTATGGAATTTGATATCAATGGCAGTCTGTTCTTAATCGAATTTGATATCAATGGCAGTCTGTTCTTTATGGAGTTTGGTGTTAATGACAATCTATTATTCATGGAATTTGGTGTTAATGACAATCTATTATTCATGGAATTTGATATCAATGGCAGTCTGTTCTTTATCGAATTTGATATCAATGGCAGTCTGTTCTTTATTGAATTTGATATCAATGGCAGTCTGTTCTTTATTGAATTTGATATCAATGGCAGTCTGTTCTTTAAGGAATTTGATATCAATGGCAGTCTGTTCTTTATGGAATTTGATATCAATGACAGTCTGTTCTTTATGGAATTTGATATCAATGGCAGTCTGTTCTTTATGGAATTTGATATCAATGGCAGTCTGATCTTTATGGAATTTGATATCAATGGCAGTCTGTTTTTTGTGGAGTTTGGTGTTAATGACAATCTATTATTCATGGAATTTGATATCAATGGCAGTCTGTTCTTTATGGAATTTGATATCAATTGCAGTCTGTTCTTTATGGAATTTGATATCAATGGCAGTCTGTTCTTTATGGAATTTGATGTCAATGGCAGTCTGTTCTTCATGGAATTTGATATCAATGGCAGTCTGTTCTTTATGGAGTTTGGTGTTAATGACAATCTATTATTCATGGAATTTGATATCAATGGCAGTCTGTTCTTTATGGAATTTGATATCAATGGCAGTCTGTTCTTTATGGAATTTGATATCAATGGCAGTCTGTTCTTTGTGGAGTTTGGTGTTAATGACAATCTATTATTCATGGAATTTGATATCAATGGCAGTCTGTTCTTTGTGGAGTTTGGT